TTGCTGAAATTACAGCCATATAATACTAATAATACATTTAAGAATGGCTGTTAATAGTATAGCTCTTGTTATTTTGTAGGTCGAACAAGTTTTTGAGAGCTAATCTGAGAACTAAAACACATTTTCAGCAAATTTTTATAGGAAAATGTGCTTCAAGATCTTCTAAAAAATATTATTTTACAGATTAAGGACATCTCATACAAATATCTTTAATTACATTATTAATGGCTGTCTTGAACTAAGGGAATTTTAAAATTTTAAATAATCTCACCAAATGCTTTGTTAAAATAAAATAATGTCACTAAATTATAGCCCTACAAATCTTTATTTTTTCGAAAACTGTCTCAACTTAGCAAACGTTTTATTTGGAAACGTGCTTTTGGCATAGTGATCTCCTCTAAATGTGAAAGGTCAATTAGAAATTAATAGTTTTATTCTTTAAGACAGTTTTTAGTATCTATTTGGTGAAATAGATTTGAATCCCCTTTGGAATTGAACAGTGAAAGAGGCAACATGAAATTTGTAAAATGTACTGAGAAAATCACCCCTCCATGTAGGGCTGCCCAGGCTTTACTCTCTTCTGCAAGGCTGTGTGGCAAGAATCCCTTTTCTAATTTGATTGCCATATGGCCACACCTGCTGTTGTTTTTGGCCACATGCTGGCTTTTTCAGAGCTTTCTGTATTTCCTCCTTTTCCCATTAACTATTTTAAAAATTTGCATGAATCCTGCCCTGATTCACAGTGCCAATGTTGAAACAATTCAGCCTGGCTTTAAGGTGAAAAAGCGTATTATGTGGGATGTACCCATGCGTGCCTGTGCACCTATAACCCGCCTCATAGCATTCTGAGTCTGGCCATTCAGTGTCATTTGGATACAATGTAAAGCTACTGGTTAAGGGGAGACCAGGCCAGGTTAGTGAGACAAATGCTAGAGGAACAATTTATTATACTTAACACAATAAAGTCCAGCCTGCAAATGGCCTGATAGAACTGCTGTTGAAGAATATGATTTATCTGAAAATTGCCTTTATCCACCAAGCAACATTTATTTTGTGAAATTTATAATTCTGATAGGTCATTTTATATTTCATTTTCAAGGTATCTCAATTTCCTCGTTAAAAATGAACTTTAATCATATGTGTATAATCTATACATTACGTTTTTAGAAATTCTGTGACAAAAGACATGACTCAGGGTTAAGTCATGTCTTCCTAAGCAAGGTCATTCTGACCACGCTACACGTTTATTTCAATCAATACTGAAAATCTTTTGATACCAGATATATTCTGGAATTCAAAGAAACACTTGTCATATACTGCATACTTTGATTTTTCTTTTGCAAAAAAACATTATCTAATTCAAATGTCATTGAAATTCTTTTTATAGCATATTTTTTTCAAATAATAAAAGCAACATATATTGTTAGAGATATGATGAATTCTTACTGAATTAATACAAGTTTATTTGTTTCAGAACTCTAAAGAACTGGTGCTAACCCACAAGAATAAATGGTCTGAATTATTGTATTCCAAAATGTAAGAAACTTCATTATAAACGAATAAAGGTATTGATATCCCATAAAAAATGTCAATTACCAGTCCATCAAGTACTATCTTCATGTTTACTCACAAAGGAAAAAAATAAAATAATAAATCAAATGAATATCTCAGCACAGGACAAATTAATTTCTCAAAATAGAACAATGGAAAACCATACTTCTAAAGTTTATCTTCTACTGCTAAACTACCCGCCATTTTATTATTATCAGTCGTTTTGAATATGCATGAGTTTGCATTTAGAAAAACAGTAACATCAATTACCCAACATCCATAAATGTCACCCAACACATGTTTTACAATGGTTTAAGATACTAATTAATAACACTACCAAAGTGTAGTTCTTTATTCAAAGTTAGCATGTTTAATGTAGTGTCATTAAGATACTCTGGAACACTATATTCTATTATTGGTTTAATTCACTCTTACCAAAGTATTATAGATGTCTGACTATTAACCAAAGTTTTTTCAAGTAATGTTCATTAGCAACGGTTTCTGCTTCATTTTCCACAGGGTGCTAAATCACAGACTAAACTCTTCGTGGTGAGTATTAAATGTAACCAGTAAACAATACCTGGCTACTACGAGACCATAAAGTTCACAAGGCTTAATTCTATCAGGTTGTTTATGAGAATTTCTAAACTGTATAATATGCATCCTTTTCTCTGTAACATATGCTGATAGCTCTATATTTGTTTTCTATTTATCTGGCAAGGTTGAGAGAATTAAGAAAGGAATAAAGAGAAACAGGGCAGGAAAGAAAGATAGGAATGGGAAAAGGGACAGATACATACTTCAAGCATCATAAAACTAGCTCTAAACTCATTGCGTAATACGTTTGTTAAGGATTTTCT